CCATCGGGTAGTGGACGGGGACTAGAGATGTGTGTGGGCTCTGACCCGCACACCATCACCGGCACAGACTTTTCAGCTCTCAAATCGACTGTGAATACAGAACTCTTGCGATTCATACAGAATACTATTCCTAAACGTCGGGGCTCTTCAACAAAACCCACGAATCCAATGGTATTCCCCGTACTGTCCGTCCAGAAGGGCTGACCCAATGAATAGCCGGGCATTTCAATGGTACGTATCTTGAAGTCATTTTCGACATCGAGAACAGCAATCACTGTATGAGTGATACCATCGAAGCATTCGCCCCAATCCTCTCTGGAGTGCCACCAAATCCATTACAAAAGCTTATACTATAACCTCATTAACTAATGACATACCTGTACACAAACTCCTGACCCCTTGTGTCCGACTCTTTGACCGAGTTGTCCGACTTTTTCGACACTTTCTTATAGTATGACTGAGCCTTCGGTGGCTTATAATCGGCGACATATAGTAGTTGTTTGCCGTTTGGTGACCACTGGACCCGACCGAAGGTGGGCTCCAATACCAGCGCCGAGTGTTCGTCCATTGCATTGATGTCAATGGACTTCATTTTCCAAGTCTGATCCCATATTTCCAGCCATTGTTTCTGTTTCCCTGACTCGGGATCTTTGGAACCCTTTCGCACGACTGCCATGTATTGAGTTACCGGTGCTCTCGCAGTGGCTGACAATCTATTGATTCATTTTATGAGTGTTGTTTGAAACTAATATACAAACTTATAGAGTGAGTAGCCAGTGTAGGTACCCAACAGGCTGGCCAACCTACACAAATTGTGCTCACATCAGAAACCTGTCAAACTACCACACAACCTGCCGTACAATGGTGGCCTCCAGTCGATCCATGTCTCGGACCTTCCAATCGATTCGCACAGACAGTTGCCTCTCATTAGGACCTTTGGACAGTTGGCCACTGATAGCCTAGCCTCAAAATCGTTTGAGAGCCATATTCAGGTGGTTTAGTAGCTAGATAAGTATTTATTATTGTGAAAATTTGTATGTTAAATATGTTGTAAATTTGTGAACATTATATGACATCATTATTAACATTTATAATTAGTACACAAATGATTTCATTTAAGTTTTCAATCACTTTATTAATCATTTAATTAAACAGTTTAGTTTACAAAATTTTATTTCACGACAAAAATAAATTACAATTCAAATGTTAGTTCAATTTAAACATTGAATGAAATGTATAAATTTTATTATAAAGTTATTAATGAAAGTCAAATGAATTCATGGACTGATCAATGAGTGAATCAACTAATCAGTGAACCACTGGATTCAATGGTTCGGCTTTAATGATACTGAAATCCAACTTATTGTCCAACTCTTCGTCTATCTCTCCGATGACAGCACTTATGGACACAAAGAGATAATACAGGATCGGAGTTTTAGCAAACTCTCGGTATAAGTCCACCAAATCATCGATCTATTCATAAATAATAACACTTTTAAACATACAATTTATACAACATTTAAACACTTGTAATATACTGTAGTAATAATTGATTTATAATACTGTAAATAAATTAACTAATTAACTAATTAACTAATTAATAAAATTCGCTAATACCGTAATTAGTACACAAATGATTTCATTAAAAAGTTTTCAATCACTTTATTAATCATTTCATTAAACAGTTTATTTCACGACAAATATAAATTACAATTCAAATGTTAGTTAAATTTAAACATTTAATGAAATGTACAAATTTTATTATAAAGTTATTATCATAATGAAAGTCAAATGAATTCATGGACTGATCAATGAATGAATCAACTAATCAGTGAACCACTGGATTCAATGGTTCGGCTTTAATGATACTGAAATCCAACTTATTGTCCAACTCTTCGTCTATCTCTCCGATGACAGCACTTATGGACACAAAGAGATAATACAATACTTTNTGAATCAACTAATCAGTGAACCACTGGATTCAATGGTTCGGCTTTAATGATACTGAAATCCAACTTATTGTCCAACTCTTCGTCTATCTCTCCGATGACAGCACTTATGGACACAAAGAGATAATACAATAGAAATCTGTTGCTTACGTATGTTTTTGTCTTCAGTAGCTTTTCACACTTCTTTAGTCATCTATTAGTTGTTTTGATAGTGACTAAACGAATGTCTCCCTTTCCCTCAAGAATACAGTGGCCTGTCCAAAGCAATTCATGTGTCCGGAGACCATTGGATCAGTTATTGAGTATTTGGGCGTAAAGGGGAGGGGAGGGTATGGCATAATAGTCACGTATATTATTCTGTTAAACCACTATCCTCACCTCCAATACCATTTACAGAGTGTGCAATAGAGGAGATTGCTACATCTCAGGCTCCCGGTGGACAAGGTGCGGTACTGGTGACGACATGTGGGGCTCGTGACTGTCATCTAATATGACATTCACTGTTTGGTCGAAGCCTTTCAGAGTCCCCTTAAGACACACGAGTGGACACACAGTTAGACACCAATTGAAGACACAATTATCACATTTCAATGGTATGAATGTGACACACATGACAGTAATGGATTCACTGTTTGGTCGAAGCCTTTCAGAGTCCCCTTAAGACACACGAGTGGACACACAGTTAGACACCAATTGAAGACACAATTATCACATTTCAATGGTATGAATGTGACACACATGACAGTAATGGCAATTACAGTCACAAAACTCATGAGTTATGAAAGGATATTGCGTCAAATGATTGACACCTAATGGTTATCTATCAGAGCTGTGTCTTAAGACTTACCACAATCTGTCGGCCATCGGCTGTGATCACCGAAACGGTGTCTGAAAAACAAATGAATGACAAAAATGCATAAAAAAACTCTTAAGACACTGTCGATTGACACTTACGGTTGACATAGGATTCCAGTGACGAAGACATTCCTCTTGAGTGTCACTAAAGCTGAGGCAGTGATCACTGAATCCAAAGATGAGTTGAAAAACGTTATGATTTTGTGAATAAAAAATGATTTTTCATTCAATATTACGGGTCGTTCACAACAAACAGGTCTTTCACACAATCGCCCCCTTATTACACATTCATTCACTTTATGGGTAATCGATATAAATATTGACTTCTTGTGGTCATAATCTTTAAATATGTGATCCATTCGCTAATTAGTCTGTCCACATATGGATCTACTTCTATCGGTAATCACTGAGTGTCTGACCACTGCTCCCATTCCCCTCATCCCCTCCGCACTTTAAATATAACGTAATCTCAATTGAATTGAGTCTAAAAATAATGTATTTTTATAATGCGATAAGAAATTCATAAATCATATCAAAAGTAAATTAAACATTCAATTGATTGTCAAACAAATGATTAAATTTAGTACTTATTTGTGTTATCAGTGTTAATGTCAACGGACTTACTGTAAGTCTATGAGATATGTTACTGAGGGGGCACTGAAAGGGGACAACAATTGCACGTATTTTATGAGCAAATGTTTTGTTATTATTGTTATGTAATGAATGAATGACTAAATCGTAATAAAAATCAAATTAAAGTGAAATTTATTTTTCGCATAAATTATACAAACATTTAACAAATGAACGAAATATACAAATATATGAATAGTTTTCTAAATCTATAGGCAATACACATATCGTATGGTTTGTAGCGATCGATACAAACGAGTGATTAATTAAAACGAGTTTTTGTGTGAATATTATGTAAACAAATGATTACTTAATCAGACATTTGTATTGACTGTACGTTACGTACCACTGATCGCACTCTCGCTGTCACTGCGAGTGCCTCTCGCAGTGTATATCCGTTACAATTAGCCCACAAAAGCAGTCAACCATTCATTCGCATCATAATTGCCATCACTTGCCATACAATCCATGGATTCGCAGATCTCTGACGAAGAGTTTCAACGATTGCAGGTATGGCTCACATTGGGATCAGTGTTGCGGTGATGTCTTGCGGTCATGTGTTTACGCGTGAAATGGCTTTTATTTTTGACACAAATTTCTTGTTTTTTGTCTATATTTTTGTTTTGAAAACTTTTTTTTATAATTATTTGTAATTTTTGTTTGTTTTAAACCAAACGACAAGTTAATGATAATTGGGATCAGTTTTGCGATCACTTCTTGTGGTCTACAGTATATTCTCGTATTAAATGAGTTTTATTTTTGAGACCATTCTTCTGGATATTTTGTTTCAAAACTTATTTTTTTAATTAAAATATTTATATTTAAATGAATTTTGAGTTTGGGATCAGTTTTGCAGTGATTTCTTGAATTAATTGTATTTATCGTCACTTTTCCCAAACTATAGACACATTTATTGGAGTTAAAGACAGATAACTACGCGTTGGCTGAAGAGAAACGCCGTCACCAGCAGCTGATCCATGACTTAACCAAACGGGTGGAAGAGCTCGAGAAGCAGTTATCTGTGGCCAAGACTGTCAACAAAATAAATCCGTTATCGCTGGCGAGGAATATTGCCAATAAAGTGGACCATAAGTTGAGATCAGACTCGAGAGGTGATGACCAACATCTGGTCACTGAGAATGAGCTACTGATCCGTCGTATCGACGCTCAGGAACAGGAGTTTCGTGTCACTCATAATACGCTCAAAGAGGAGATCCAGACACTGGTGGCCACCAACGAGTCGCTGAGGGATCAGTTGAGAGCCCACGTGCCCGTTGAGTGCGATTTGGGAACCAATTCCAGTGATAATAGCCGCCAATTGGATGATAACCGGGATATGAGTAGCGGTGGATCGCGTGATCAGATATCGTACGCCATTTTGGCCGAAAAAGAGCGCTTAGAGCTGAAGATCTGTGATCTGGAGGAAGCGGTGAATGGTTTGCGAAAAGAGAACCAATCATTGGTCACCAAATTGGATGAGTTTAAGAGGAAATGCGAGGACACGGAACGCCTTCAGCAGGAGTTAATGGACTCTCAGGCAATGATTGAGCGCCAGAACAGTCTGATTGAGGAGATGAGGGCACATAAGATGGAAATGGAGGTGAAGTTTAAGGCCGACTGCGAGCGTATACGCGGTGACCACCAGTCGAAAGTGGATTCATTGGAACAGCGATTGAAATCCAAAGAGGAGACCATCGATGCGCTTAAGGATAGAGTGGAAGAACTTGCGGACAGATTGCGTGACTCGGAAGCGATCGGCAAAGAGAATGAGAAACTGATGAACGAATTGGTCTCATATAAGGATGAGTTGAGTCTTTGCCGGACACAGACTGAAGAGACTGTGGAGCGTATGAACGATGAGCACCGGGCGGTCGTGGATGAGCTTCGCGTTAAGCATCGCGAAGATGTGGAGGTTATTAGGCAGGAGTGCGAGGTCTATATGAGTCGAATCCAGGACTTGGAGTCTGAGACGAGTCGTCTGAATCAGAGGATTGTCGACGACATCGAAGACCGCAAAATACACGACAAGAAAGGAGTTCTTATGGTTAAGGAATTGAAACGACAGTTACATTCGGAGCGCAAAAGGGCGGACAAACTCCAGGAACGCCTACACGAGCTCTTGAACGAGTCGACGGCCTCCATATCCAGTGATATACAGCACAGGCAGCAGAATCTTAGCCATAATGGCGGTGGAAATGGCGACTCGAGTAGTGTCGGCTCATGGAGTTTCATGTCAGCCAAAGACAACAACAGCTCTCACCTCACGAGTGGACACAACCGGACCTTGAGTTTGCATTCAATGGGCTCGGATGGGGGCCACGATTCGACTACCAGTCCCGTGAGTCCGGCGCCTCTGTCTGTGACTGATGGCGGAGGCGTTGCGAGGGATGGCCTACTGTTGGAGAGAGAGAACAACGAACTCGTGGCCCGAATAACGGCTTTACAACAGGAGAAGTGGACTCTCGAAGAGCGCATCAATCAGTTAGAGCTAAGTGTTGGCGCTCTCAGCGATGATATTCAGCGTAAGACTGATATTATTCAGTACTACTCGATGGAGGGTAGGGCTGACCCACCTCTACACAGGTATGGCAGCAGCGATAAGCAGGCGGCGCTCCACTCAACCGATAAGCTGACGGTTAAGAGGGTTATGGACTTCATTAAGGACAGGGGCGACGAGAATATGCGCGAAATTAACCGCAAAGTGCAGCGCATGCTGGAGGAGACCCTCACCAAAAACATGCATTTGCAGCAAAACCTGGACTCCCTGTCCCAGGAAGTGGTTAGACTCCAAGGGCTGGTCGACAGCGCCGGCAGTAATGCTATTAACGCGAACCTCACGACTACTATTGATAATAAGGGCTAATGTTTTGTTGGTTTTTGTATGATTACTGTATTATTAATCCTTTGAAATGTAATTTATTTTTCTATTTTATAATTAATTACTTATTAATTGTATTGAATTGAAAATGTTTTCGCGATTTGTTGTATAGTTTTGATGAGAAATACTATGAAATATGTATTAATATTGATATGAATGTTATGTATGACTCGGAAGTGTTAACTGTTTGGCATATATTTGATGAATGAATTCATATATATTTATTTAATCCAAGAAATTAGAGCATAATTACTGTTATTATATAATAAGTGACTTATAATTAACTGATTAATAAATCGGAAATATTTTTAATGCGAAAACTTGCAAAAGTTATCAGTTTTTCAATTATCGGTAAATATAAATGCCTTTCCTATTGGTCGCGAATCCACTTCAATAGGTAAGGCGTAAAGTAAGTGATAATAACGTCAGCGCCGGCCCTCTTGAAGCTGGTCATCGTCTCCATCAC